GACCAGACACCAACTAACCTGCGCAGGTCCAGTAGACAAGTACGGAGCCCCGCCTACTTACGGGACTACGTCACGTAGGACCATACCAAGAGGGGAGGGGTGTTCTGTACTGTACATTAGCATTCTTGTAAATAACCATTCTGATTGGCTAAGACGCGCGGCGACCCGATTGGTCGAGCGAGCCGCACTGATTGGCCCGCCGCGAATCCCTGCGATTGGAAGAAACCGATCGCGGGAGATTCAAAGCGGTGTCATTGGCCGCGGCTTGGCCGGCAAGTTCTATGAAAGCCGCCGTCTGCCCTAGCTACATCGAGTCGATCTCGGAACCAAATAAAGAGCTGAAAACGGTCACTGACTCCCGAGCCTTCCTTCCTACGGCGAACTTAACACGTTCATAGGCATTAGCAGAGCTCTATTTTTTCCCCAAGAAAAATTGTGATGATGTATACAATGTCTATGTTCATATTATAGAGAATATGGCCATTTTGTAAAAGATGCACACCTAAAACATCTCCTTCCAGAACACCAACGAAATGGTTAAATTTAAGCAAGGCTTGAAATGTTCCAAATCTAAACTATCAAAAAATGAGGTTATAGAAATTATATATGAAACAGTCTTCACATTATTGTGCATTTTTACATTGTTATGATTTGTTCTTGATACTGCAACTTTAATAAGATTTTCTCTTTTTCCATTTTACTTTTTTTTTCATTGCTGTGCTACTTATGCTACTTATGTCCTACATTTGCTAATAGCTATCATAGGATTTAGAAAAAAAAGCTAACTTTGTATTTTTTCCTTGTTATTCTATCCTTGAATTTACATTCTTGATTTTCCCTTGCCGGTATTACTGGATCTTTCCCCCATCTCTGAAGAGGTTAAGTTTCTCAGAGCTCAGTTAAGACTGACCTTCACCTGCCTATAAGCATGCATTGTTTGAATTGCTTCCTGTTTATACTTTTCAAGGTTTGTTAAGTCCTTATAATTAAATAAGTATTGTGAATAGTTTTGTCTAACACTGTCCTTAATCGCTGCTAATAGCTCAACCTTGTGACCATTAGAGCTCAGCAAAATGTACTTTCTGTCATTGTTTGTATAATTTCCCCTCCTTTGTTTGCACTGTCCTATTGTATTTAATACTTACCTATATGCAAAGAATATATTTAGACTTGAATAAAATGCTATAAAGGGGACAAGGGTACATATAACAAGGCAAGAAAAATATGCCTGTGATGTGCTTCTCCCAATTATGGAATTTTAAAATGAAGTTCCATTACCTTTTGTCCTTGCTGCTAATTTCCTCAAGAAGATGATCCCACGGGGTCAGAAATGAAGCATCTAGACTTTAAGTGGATCACAAACATTTAATGTGATGCACTGTCAGTTAGTCATTCCTGTTACATTATAGAGCCAAACAGAAATAGAACTTGCACCACTGAAAACTTTGTTAGTTATAAGTATGCTGTCTCCCAGGAGTCTGTTCATTTTTCAGTTTGTTGAAGCTATTGATGGTTATTTTTATCCATGTCTAAGTGCACTGATCCTCTCTTATTCACTATCAATAATCATCAACAGTCTCTACAATTTTATTTAGCATACTCATTAAATTTACTAATAGTCCTAGGAACTGACTGGTTCAGTTTATCAATGCTCATATTCATTGAGACTGAAGAACCTAATCTTTGATTCTATGGCATACAACACTTACATTTTGTTTGGCCTCAGACTTACCCTGCTCATCACCTGCAGCAGTAACTTCTTACCACATTGTTGGCCAAATAAATGGATTTTGAAAGATGCCATTGGGAAAAGATTTTATTGGTATTTGAGTCTGCTTCTCTATTGTACTGGGGGGGGGGAAAACACAGGACCCATATGTGTGTGGGGTCATATGATTTGTGACTTTCTGGTATAAGCAAGTTTCTGAATAGATGATGACCAGTTACTACCTCAGTTACTTAATGACAAGACCAGTTTGGTCTAGTGGTTAAGTCGCTATGTTAGAAAGTGGGAAAGTGTGAATTCTAGTCTCGCTTTAGTCATGAAAGCCAGCTGGGTGACTTTGGGCCAATCATTCTCTCTCAGCCCAACTCACCTCATAGACTAGTTGTGGGGAAAATAGGAGGAGGAAGGTATGTTTGATATGTTCACTACCTTGAATTATTTGCAAAAAAATAATAAAGGCAAAATAAAAAGGAATGGCTTATTGCCTAGACTAGAGTTAAGTCTGACAGGACTTTATAGAATGGATTTGATGAATTTGATGCCAAATTTTCATAGATGTGACCTATTTGAAAAACAAGCTGCTTATAGTGCTGTGCCAACAGTTCAGTTAAAAACAGCTCCATGCACTCAACTAGTTTCATGTGGCTTACAGTATGTCCAAATTTGATGATTCAATCGATATACAAAACTAAATTGGATTTAGTTATTAGACTAATACAAATATTAGAGTTTGAAATGTTTTGAAATAAGGGATAAGAGCAGCAAAAATCTAAGCTTATCAATGACAACTGAGGAATTGCAGAAGGGGAAGAGAAATAATGGCCCTGGGAATATTAGAAAGTGGGTGGGCCTCTGGGATTTGAAGGAAAGCAGAGAGGAAAGGAGGAAAGATATAATAAGATGGTTTATGGATGTTGCATGCTTAGAACTGCTTGGGAAGGAGGGAAAATGTATAGCAGCTTTGCCTTCTCACTCCATGAATACCACTTGATGATTTTGTTTTGGTTGGAACGGCAATCCAATTTTGTTTCAGCCCATCTGGAATGGATCAGCAGAACTTTTGCAATACACTATCATTATTTCAGATTTGAAACAAAACACATTTTCCATTTCGTGCACTCTTGTAACAGATTCATATGCCATTATTAAGCAAGCTACATAAAGAATTTAAAATAGGATGTGATTTTTCTTGGAAAAAAGTTGATAGATATGTAAAAGCAGAGAAATCTTTTACATGTCCTGTTACTCACACAAACAAACCAGTTTTTAGGGTAGACAAATGAAAACTATGTATGATTAAATGTGTACCACACACTTCAGGAAAACTGATACTGAAAGCACAACCAAAACCAGGACTGTGGTAGGATAGTGGTGGTAATGGGGAAGGAAGACAGCCATGGTACTAAATGCGATTACACAAAGAATTTAAACAATTTAATTATTTGAATTTTTTTAAAAGGAGCATCTATTATTGGTTGCCCACCTTATTGTGATGGTGATGGTGGGGGTATTTTGAAAGGGATTAGTAAAATAAGTTAGGCATATATGTCTAGAAAATATATTCTCAGCAAGAAGACCCAAAGCATGATGGTCATCCCAGCTGCCAGCTAAAGTAAGCAGGCATTTATATTGGGCAGCAGCAATATAGGAAGATGCTGGAGACAAAAGGTCACAGTGACAATGGAAAAGGCATCAATTAATAGTGCCCATGAGAAGGTAATGGTAAACTATTTTTTATTTATATCAAGAAAACTACATGGATAAAAATCAACCCAGATTTCTCACTAGTGGCACAAATATTGGGAAATATTATGTGAAGCCCTAATTCTCTGAGGAAAAGGTGAAAGGAAAGAGCAGAAGAGAATGACCAGCAGGACAGTGGTGATAGGTGCACCATTGGAACCCTTGAAAGACCAGGTTAGGGATTGATCAATATGGAGAAAATCCAGTAAAAGAGAAGTATATGTAGCTCAGGGTTGAACATTGGGGTTCTTTGTTTTCCTGCTTGATATTGATGTTGTTTTCTGCTGGATTGTTTGTCTAATGTGAGTTCCTGCTTATATGGGTATTGTTTGCTGGTGAGGAGGAGTTCTGGTCTTTTTATTTCCTTCTTAGGTTTTTAAATTGTCTCTTTTGGAATGATATGCAAATATGATTTATCTGTATGTGTCTATTGTTGGCTGATTTGTCCAAATGTCAAGCTTCCAGGAATTCTCTAGCACTTGAAACTATGGCTGAATCTATTTATGTGTTGTGAGATTAAAGAGTTTTCATTATGTTTTCTGTCTGATAGTTGGTATTCATGAATTCCCTCCACTAATGTTCTACCTGTCGATCCCATGTTGTGGCTGTTACAGTCTTTACACTGTATGTTTTAGATGACTCTGTTTTTTTTGTAATGGATTTTTTGTTTACTTAGGATGTTTTGAATCTTAAGGAGGTTAAGACCAAGCTTTTATGTACTGCATAGATTTTAAATTCTTAACATCTAACAATATACAGGACAATGAACATTGACTACATTTTACTGATCATTTGAAAATAGACATCTGAGTGAACAGTTCCAGCTTGCCATGCATATTATTCATGAGAACATTCAATTTTACATGGTTCTTATTTGTTGATACACCCCTGTGTTCCAGAAAGAGATGATGATTTGATCATATTCACTTTGTATTATAGATATAGTTGCTATGGCGATGTATTAATAATTATGTATTGTTGATCTTGCATTGAGCATAGAGGAAAGGTAAGAAGACAAAAATCTATTTGTCACTGAGTAAGAGAATTTGCATGTGCAGCCTTTTTTTAAATGAAAATACAAATTGTTCAGTTGGAATAATAGTTACAGTTTTATTTTGTATTCTGAAGTCTTGATATGGTTGTACCTTCAAATAACAAAAAGTACCAGTGTGAATCAGTAACTGTGGTACACAAACCACAAATGAATGAGGAAAAGTGCAAGGAAAGAGGAAATGAAAGAAGGATTCCAGGACAGAAAGCAGGGGGGGAAATAAAACTAGATGAAGAAATGGGAACACCAGCCTATTGTCTATTAAAACGGCTCATTTTATCTTCAAGTTCTATATTTTCACAAAGGCCCACTACATTTCAGGGATTAATGAGTTATAATTTGAACACAGAATAGTAGGATGTGGATTTTTTCCTTTTCTCCCTCTGGTGGTAAGACTTTAAAAAAATTGTGATGGCTGTACATATGACATTGTCCTTTTTTTGCACTGATAATGGCGGTGGTTATTTTTTTTTTTCTTAGATGCAACAGCAAATTATTAAATGTTGAAGATGTTCTGACAAGCTTTGACAACACAGGAAACGTTTGTAAGTAATGATTTTTGTTCTTGATTATGGTTGTTTTATTAATAACATTTAGCATGTATCTCAGTACAAAAATCTGTGCCAAAATATGTTTTCAATGTGAATATCATAGAAGGAAAACCAGAACTAAAATAAGACAAAGAGGAGAAAGTAATTTTTGCATTGAAAACATTTTTCTTTCTCTTGTAATTATCTGTTGAAATATCTGCTTCACATGAGCCTTGAAAACTGATTATAATATCACATATTGATATATTGCAATGGGTTGTGATGACAACTTTGAGAAACAGGAGGAAGAGCTGCAGCCTAGATCTGATAAACAAAATCTGACTTGAAAGGAGGAATGAGGTTAGAGTAACTATCTTAGAAGATGCCCACTCCCCAAATTATCTGGAAAGTAAAGACAGGGGATAGGGGAAGTGTTTTCAGAGTTGCAAGAATCTGTTATTGTAATCTTACAATAAAGAGACTTATGGAGTTCTAGCATCCTGAAAACTAATCTAAGGATTGAATAAACACTCTGGAACAAAAGTGTCCTAACTTATAAAATGTAGGTTGTGGCCATTCATTTCTTGGGGGTGGGGGTGGGGGGAGAATATTCCATGAAATGGAGTCATGTCTAACAGATTTACCTGATCTTCATATCACCTCACAAGTATAAATAAATAAATAAATAAATTTGCTTCATTTTTTTCAATCTGATTTTGAACAACTAAATATAATAACAATTTCATCAAATTAAATATTTTGACATAGCACTTTGCATCCATTTCATTTTCTAGGCCCGTTTATTCAGAGATTTCTTTTGACACATAATTAAGTTCCTTAAGTATCATCATTACATAAAAGAATCTACATATGTATAATACCAATTATCTTTGAGATAAAGATTAACAATGACTGTGCATGCAAAGTAACACTTAATCTCAGTTTAATGTAGAAAATATAATTATCAACAAAGGTTTTACTTCTCTTTAAATACATTCATTTGTAATATTGTTTATTATAGAAAGAATATGCCATTCAAAGAGCCAATTACCCATGTCACAATACAATCCTATTAAGAGTTAGGTTTCCTTCAAGTTATTTCAGTATAGATGGATATGCTGTATGATAGAGGATTTGACTGTTGGAATATCCTAAAATATTAATTCTTATTCTTTGATTTTTGCTATTGGTGTATGAGTGCATATTTTTGGTGTTGCTTTCAGATGTTCCAACTCAATTATCTCGTCTTTTCCTCTCAGTAATTCTCTATGCAGTTTCCCATCAGTTGAACTTTTGAAGAAATACTTGTTGGAGTTTCTCTTTCAGTAGCTGTCATTGTCCTGATTCAGACAATATCCTTAACTGGATCTTAGGAGAAGATTCTATGGTGCAATCTTCAAAACCCAATTATTTGATCTAGCCAAATCCAAATAGGATTAGCTTTAATACCCCAAAGACTTGGGTTTTATTTGGACTAAGTTAAATTTACCTGAAGTTTAATTTTCAGACAAAATCTCTAGGTATTCCATTTCTGGGGCCTGTTTTGTCCCACTCCTGGAAACCAATAAGGGAGGAACAAAGGGAACAGAAAAGGCAGGTATGTTTGCGAGAGTTACAAGCTGCGAATACCCTAAAGGGAAAAGTTTTTTTTTCTTTGTTCGACTCTGCTTCCTAAAGTGACACCGGAAAAAAAAAATATCTTTTTGGCTGTGAGTGGGAAGGGAGAGTGAAAAAAAATCTGAGCAAAATTTGAAAATAAGGAGAAGATTGCCTAGAATTGCAAAGAGTTTAAAAACTTCCAAAAAATATACTTGAAAAGGATTTGTGATTACTTTAACCCCAGAAAGAGAAAGTCAAGAAGAAGAAGGTATCTAAAAGAAACAATCTGTTTGGATTGTTTGGTGATTTTGGAACCTTTGGAAATTATTTCTGATTAAATCATCTGGGTGGTTGTTTGGAAAAACTTTTTCTCTACACAATGGCATCATCTATGGATGAATTGGAACTTATATATCAAAAATTTGAAAGAGAAAAACAAGGAGGTGAAGATGGACTTGGCACTATTTTCCAATACTTAGAAATGGCGGTTTATATTTATGTGAAGCAGAATGAGGATGATGGGGATAAAGAAGAAGGAGAAGCCATCTTTGATGAGAAAAGGACTTTGATTGGAGAAGGGAAAAAGCGGAGGTCTTTAAGATCTGGAAAAACAGCCCAAAAAGAGAAGAATAAGGTGGAAAAGGGATATTATGTTAAGAAACAACAGAAAGGGGGAAAGCAGAATAAAAGGGAGGTGGGGAGACAAGGTGTTAAAGAGGACAAGGAGAAGAAGAAGCAAGGGAGAAAGGATGGTAGGGAGCAAGATATTAAGAAGCAAAAGTTTTTCAGAGATAATGGATAAGTCTTATTGTTAATGGGATTCTAGAAGGTACATAAGATTGCATTTTTATATCTGTATTTAGAAGTAATTATAGAAAATTAGAAATAATATGTAGTTTAAAATGTGATAAAATATTTAACATAAACAAGTGAAATTTTTGTTAAGAAAAAGGGAGTATTGTAATGAAATATGATCCAAGATTGTGATGTGGGGGTGGTGGTGGTGGTAATAATCGTGGAAAGCACAAGTGTTCCCACAAAGGCATGACATTCAATTGAAATGGATAAAATGTTTAAGATATAAATGATTGTCAATATTAATAATTAGAAGATGGTATATTAGCAAACCTTTTGTGAAATGAGATTTGAAGTAGAAGAAGGAGGAACATTTCAATGAAATATTGAGCTATAATATGTGATGTGGGGGGGGGGGGGATAATTTTGAAAAATAGGGCTCTCATAAAAGCATGTGATTTAATTGAAAAGTAATGAGTTAAATATCTAAGATATGAATGAATATCAATATTAATGAATAGATTTGTATTATTTTTGATAATATAGTATAATTTTAGAATGTACCAGACAGAATCCCAATGTAGGTTATGTATTTTATATTAAGTACTATAAATATAGGGGAAAAAGACAAAGGCATCATACTCCATATAGTGTATAGGAGAAGTACTTCTTCTTTTTTTTTAAAGAAGAAAAATAAATGATTGGCTGGAATAGAACAGACAAAGAATAATAAATATTACGATATGAATTGAGAGGAGATAAAAAAATAAAAATGAAATAAAATTGAGAAAATTTAAAGGAGAGGAGAAGTTATATAGAAAATTGAAAAAGTTAAGAAGATATGAAATGGTATGTAAAATGAATATGAAATTCAATTTGTGTCTGTACCAAGAGTTTTAACCCGGGACTAAGCAACTTTCAGAAAAGAGATTTTTTATACTTTTATGTTTTGTGTTTATGTGTATTTATGTATTGTTTGTCTTGAAAAATAAAACTTGTTTAAAAAAAAGAAAAAGAAAAGGCAGGTATGTGTACAACTCCTCCAAACTTATCCATGATAGCCTGGCTTTGATTATAGTATGCCATTGTTCATTTTTGGAGGTACGGGAGGGGGAGAATAAGAGGCAGGAAATTTGGAGGAAAGTGACTACTAATCAGCCTAGTTGATATCAAATTTGAGGATGGCCCCCAATCAATCCTCTCATTTCAAATCACTTGCTAGTGGGAGAGAAAGAAAAACAAATGGACTAAAGGAGGGAATCACTAGGTTCTCTTGAACTCGCCTACTTCTAGGATAATAAAAAGATTCATCTTCTTTAACTTGTTAAATGCTTTTGATTTACTAAAGAGAGCCCTCCTTTGTATTGCAAACCTGACATTATAAATCAATACAAGATGTTTGTTCATTAAAAGGTAAAGAAAACAAAGTGCCTGAGTCTGGGATATTATATGTAAAAGTCTAATTTTGATTTATGAGTCTTTACAGGTACAGAAATTTCTGAATAATAAAATGGAGCATAATGACATGTTGAAGTATTGGAAATATTATTAATATCATAGTTATAGGAACATTAGCAATATGTTTAAAAAAGAATAATCAGATATTCAGAACTTTTTTCAGAAATGCTACTATGTTTTTAAAACCCATATACAAATTTTTTAAAAAAAATCTAGATAAATAAGGCTGAAAAAAGAACTAATACTCTGCTTCCATTAGTAATAACATGAAACCATTCTTAAATATAGTCAATTCATTTAAAATATGTTTTTTTAAATCAAAATTGGGTTATACTTCATTGTGCATTGACATTTTAAGCAATTATAAAATTATACAATTTTATGAACTAACTTTTGACTTTAGAAAGATAATAGAATCTACATGATAGTTAATAACATAGCAAAAAGCTAGGTACAATTCAGCTTCCATTTGTAAGCTTTCATCCTCTCTGAGTGCCTCAGGCTTTATAAAACAGTTTGCCTAAAGTGTGCTTAGCAAATGGGTTATTGAAATACTGTTAGGTAGAAAAAATTAAATCACAAATTGGCAGTAGAAAGGAGGACTATGAGAATGTTGTGTGTCTCTGCCATTAAGTCAGTCTCAATTCCTAGTAACTGCCTAAATAAGTTCCTGCAATTTTCTCAGAAACATTTTCAGAAGTGACTTGCCATTGTGACTGGATTTCTTTGAGGGCCAGCTGGTTGGGAGGGGTGGAGACAGGATGGACACCTCCTGCAGCACTGTACCAGCCAAAATGGGGCACAGGCGGCTGCATGAGGTGCCCCATTTTGGCCAGCAAAGTGCTGCAGGAAGCCATCCAGGCCAAAAACGGGATGTGGGGGCACTCCATTTTGGCTGCCAGAGGCACCATGAGCCAGTCCTTTGCTATTTCCAGTCCAGCTCCTCAGGCCAGATTTAAGCACCCTACAGGTCAGATCTGGCCCTTGGGCTTTGAGTTTCACACCCCTGTTCTAGACTGCTTGAAGCCTACGTAACCACTACAGTAAACTTGCTCTCTCTATATCAGTGGTTCCCAACCTTTTTTTCGCCCCGCACCCCTAAAGAAATTTCACTCGAACCTCGCACCCCCTGAAATTTAGACTTTAGGAACTACTGAACGCGT